TGATGGCGAGGATGATGCTGATGGTGATGGTGATGGTGATGGTGATGATGATGCTGATGATGATGATGCTGATGATGATAATGATCATGAGAAGAGGAGGAGGAGGAGGAGGAGGAGGAGGAGGAGGAGGAGGAGGAGGAGGAGGAGGATGAGGAGGGTGGCGACGACAACGACGAAGAGGAAAACCCTCACATGTGACCCCTTTGTTCTTCATTTCCGCAGGGGCCACGCAGACCTCATTCGTCCATCTTTGGGATGTGTTGAGCTCCTGAGAGGCATTCGTGGGGGTATCTTGGGGCCCTCTCGGGCCGTCTTGACGCCCTTTTGGCCCGTCTTTGGGCCCTTTTGGAGCCTCCGTGGCAGTCTCGGAGGGTCTTTTGGCGCTGTCGTGGGGCCGTCTTGGGCCGTCCAGGCGTCCTCTTAGATTGCCTTGGGTCCCTCTGGAGGCCCTTTAGGGCCAGGTTGAGGCCCTCTTGGGTCCTTCCTGGGCTCTCCACAGGCCCTCTTGGGTCCGTCCTGGGTTCTCCACTGGGGCCTGCATCGCAACGGGAATCCTTGAACCCTGCCACAGGGCCTGCACGTCCCATCTTGCAAAACTGTGCATTAGATCGCAGCTCATCACCGCGACCTACTTCGCTGTTTTTGAAGAGCCAGCGATCATATTCCACGTCGTAACAAGGATCCTTGAACACTTTCTGCCACAGGTCTGAGCGTATCACCTTGGACAAGTGTGCATTCGGTCGAAGCCACCGCCGCGACCGAATTCGCAGTTTCCGAAGAAGAAGAAGCGCTCAGCCTCCACCTTGCAACAAAATCTTTGCTCTCCACCACATGATCTGATCACTTCATCTTGGAAGAATGTGGATTGGGTTGCAGCTCGCCGCCGCTACCAAATTCGCAATTTCTGGAAAGTAGCACTAGTATTCCACATCACAACAAGGACCCTTGAACTCTACCACGGGGTCTGGGCGCTTCATCTTGGAAACCTGTGAATTCGGTAGTAGTAGTAGTAGTAGTAGTAGTAGTAGTAGTAGTAGTAGTAGTAGTAGTAGTAGTAGTAGTAGTAGTAGTAGTAGTAGTAGTAGTAGTAGTAGTAGTAGTAGTAGTAGTAGTAGTAGTAGTAGTAGTAGTAGTAGTAGTAGTAGTAGTAGTAGTAGTAGTAGTAGTAGTAGTAGTAGTAGTAGTAGTAGTAGTAGTAGTAGTAGTAGTAGTAGTAGTAGGTAGTAGTAGTAGTAGTAGTAGTAGTAGTAGTAGTAGTAGTAGTAGTAGTAGTAGTAGTAGTAGTAGTAGTAGTAGTAGTAGTAGTAGTAGTAGTAGTAGTAGTAGTAGTAGTAGTAGTAGTAGTAGTAGTAGTAGTAGTAGTAGTAGTAGTAGCCGTAGTAGTAGTATTAGTTGCAGCAGTAGTAGTAGTAGTAGCAGTAGTAGTAGTAGTAGTAGTAGTAGTAGTAGTAGTAGTAGTAGTAGTAGTAGTAGTAGTAGTAATAGTGGTAGTTGTAGTAGTAGTAGTAGTAGTCGTCGTCGTCGTCGTCGTCGTAGTAGTAGTAGTAGTAGTAGTAGTAGTAGTAGTAGTAGTAGTAGTAGTAGTAGTGGTAGTAGTAGTAGTAGTAGTAGTAGTAGCGCAGTAGTAGTAGTAGTTGTGACAGTACCAGTAGAAGAATAATGCGTAGTAGTAGTATTAGTAATAGCAGTAGTACGTAGTAGTAGTAATAGTAGTAGTAGTAGTAGTAGTAGTAGTAGTAGTAGTAGTAATAATAGTAGTAGTAGTAGTAGTAGTAGTAGTAGAAGTAGTAGTAGAAGTAATAATAGTAGTAGTGGTAGCAATAGTAGTAGTTGTAGTCGTAGCAGCACTAGTAGTAGTAGTAGTGGTAGTAGTAGTAGTAGTAGTAGTAGTAGAGGTAGTAGTAGTAGTAGCAGTAGTAGTAGTAGTAGCAGTAGTAGTAGTAGTAGTAGTAGTAGTAGTAGTAGCCCTAGTAGTAGTAGTAGTAGTAGTAGTAGTAGTAGTAGTAGTAGTATAGTAGCAATAATCTAATAGTAGTTGTAGTAGTAGTAGTAGTAGTAGTAATAATCGTAATCGTAGTTGTAGTAGTCGTAGTGGTAGTAGTAGTAGTAGTAGTAGTAGTAGTAGTCGTAGTATTCGTAGTATTAGTCGTAGTCGTGGTGGTAGTAGTCGTAGTAGTGGTAGTAGTTGTAATAGTAGTAGTAATACTAGTCGTGTTAGTAATAGTAGTGGTAGTGGTGGTCGTAGTCGGAATGGTGATAAGAATGGTAGAAGTAGTCGTCGTCGTTATAGTCGTAGTAGTAATAACAATCGTAATTTCAGTAGTAGTTGTAGCAGTGGTAGTCGTAGTAGTAGTCGTAGTCGTAGCAACAATAGGCGTGGTAGTATGGGTAGTAGTATGAGTAGTAGAGTAGCGGTAATCATAGTCGTAGTAGTTGTCGTAGTAGTAGTAGTAGTAGTAGTCGTAGTAGTAGTAGTAGTAGTAGTAGTAGTAGTAGTAGTGACAGTCGTAGTCGTAGTGGTAGTAAAAATAGTAGTCGTAGTAGTATTGGTATTAGCAGCAGCAGCAGCAGCAGTAGTAGTAGTAGTAGTAGTAGTAGTAGTAGTAGTAGTAGTAGTGGTACTAGAAGTAGTAGTAGTAGTAGTGGTAGCAGCAGTAGTCGTAGTAGTAGCAGTAGTAATAGTAGTAGTAGTAGTAGTAGTAGTAGTAGTAGTAGTAGTAGTAGTAGTAGTAGTAGTAGTAGTAGTAGTAGTAGTAGTAGTAGTAGTAGTAGTAGTAGTAGTAGTAGTAGTAGTAGTAGTAGTAGTAGCAGTAGTAGTAGTCGTAGTAGTAGTAGTCTAATAGTAGTAACATTAGCAGTAGTAGTAGTATAGTAGTAGTAGTAGTATAGTATGCAATGATCGTAGTAGTGGTAGTAATATTAGTCGTCGTAGCCGTCGCAGTAGTAGTAGTAGTAGCAGTAGTAGTAGTAGTCGTAGTAGTAGTAGTAGTAGTAGTAGTAGTAGTAGTAGCAATCGTAGTAGTCGTAAGTCGTAGTCGTAGTAGTGGTAGTAGTAGTAGTAGTTGTAGTAGTAGTCGTATTATTAGTACTAGTAGCAGTCGTAGTAGTAGAAGTAATAGTAGTGGTAGTAGTAGTACTAGTAGTAGTAGTAGTAGTAGTAGTAGTAGTAGTAGTAGTCGTAGTAGTCGTAGTAGTAGTAGTAGTAGTAGTAGTAGTAGTAGTAGTAGTAGTAATAGTAGTAGAAGAAGTAGTAGTAGTAGTAGTAGTAGTAGTAGTAGTGGTGATGGTGGTAGTAGTAGTGGTAATAATAATAGTGGCCGTAGTAGTAGTAGTAGTAGTAGTAGTAGTAGTCGTAGTAGTCGTAGTAGTCGTAGTAGTAGTAGTAGTAGTATAGTCAGAGTAGGGTAGTGACTAGTCGTAGTCGTAGTCGTGAGTAAGTAATAGTGGGTCGTACTAGCAGCAGGTGAGTAGTAGTAGTAGTAGTAAGTAAGTCCGTAGTAGTAGAGCATCAGTATGTAGTAGTAGTATAGTAGTAGTAGGTAAGTAGTAGTAATAATTAGTAGTAGTAATAGTAGCAGTAGTAGTAGTAGTACTGGTAGTAGTATAGTAGTAGTAGTAGTACTAGTAGTAGTAGTAGTAGTAGTAGTAGTAAAGCCGTAATAATTAGTTATTAGATATAGTATTATAGTAGTAGTAGTGGTAGTATAAGTATTAATATTAGTAATAGTAGTAGTAGTAAGTATGTAGGTGGTATGGTAGATAGTAGTAGTAGTAAAGTAGTAAGTAGTAGTAGTAGTAGTGCCAAGTATATTGGTAGTAAAGTCGTAGTAGTAGTAGTAGTAAGTAGTCTTATATTAGTATAAGTAGTAGTGTAGTAGTATTATTAGTACTAGTTAAGTCGTAGTAGTATAGTCGTAGTAGTTAATTTTTAGTAGTAGTAGTAGTAGTAGTAGTAGTAGTAGTAGTGATAGTAGCCCTAGAAGTAGCAGTATTAGTAGTATCAGTAGTAGTATTCGAATGATTCGCCGTAGTAGTAGTAGTAGTAGTAGTAGTAGTAGTAGTAGTGACAGTAGTAGTAGTAGTAGTAGTAGTAGTAGTAGTAGTAGTAGTCGTAGTAGGTAATAGTAGTAGTTGTGGTAGTAGCAGTACTAGTAGTAGTGGTCAGTAGTAGTAGTAGTAGTAGTAGTAGTAGTAGTAGTAGTAGTAGTAGTAGTAGTAGTAGTAGTAGTAGTAGTAGTAGTAGTAGTAGTCGTAGTCGTAGTCGTAGTAGCAGTAGTAGTAATAGTAGTAGTAGTAGTAGTAGTAGTAGTAGTAGTAGTAGTAGTAGTAGTAGTAGTAGTAGTAGATGTAGTCGTCGTCGTCGTCGTCGTCGTCGTCGTCGTCGTCGTCGTCGTCGTCGTCGTCGTCGTAGTCATCGTAGTTTTGATAGGAATAGAAATAATAATCGCAACCGGACTCTACGCATACGAATAATAACACTCGCCGAAATGACACAAGTGGTAGTGGTAGTCGTCATCGAAGAAGAAGTACAGTAAGTCGTAGTCGTATAAGTCGTAGTCGTAGGAATAGGTGCAGGCGGAATGCACAAGTGCCGCTGGCGCTTTGCAGGGGTTCGTGCTGCCTCTCCTCCCTTCTCCCCTTGCGCTCGAGCGCCGGGACCGCCGCGGCCAGCGGAAGGCCTGGGAGGCTTCTTGGAGACCTCCACGGCCCGCAAGTACCCTCGGGAGACCGATCGATGCCCGACGGCCTCAGGCGCTATTTGGCGCGGCTCGAAAAACGTAGCCTTAGAGACGAAGTGATTTCCAGCTTTGCAGCAAGCGCCTACGGGATGAAACATTCGCAGGGGCACAGCCTAAACGACGAAACCCTGCGAGATGAAACGCTCGGAGGCGAAAGCAGCAGCGAATGTCGGAGCGGCCATCGCTCTCACGGGCCTGAGGGCTCCCGACCTGGCGGGCAGAGCCGCACGTGCACAGCCGAGCACGCGGCCAGACGGCCCCTCAATCGAGTTCCGCCGGCGCCAGCAGCAGGAGCATCCCCATGACAGACATGTCAAAGTGATTGGCAACCTTCTGTATGAAGGTCTGGAACCACTGATAGGTCAGCCCCTTCCGAGTGCGCGTTCCAAAGTCCACCTGCAACTGGACGGTGTCCTCGAAGATAGACTCCAGGCGAGCCCAATCCTTCTTGAGCCTCTGCTTCCGGACAGGCATCACCTCGCGCAGCTCCTCCAGCAGGACCTTCAGATCCACCAGGCTCGTGAACAGCTTCTGGCCATTGTACGAGCCCGTGCACAGCTCGTCGAACAGGTCGCGCATCTGGTCATCATCGTCCACCCCCTCCTTGGAGCAGGACCTTCTGCCTTCCTCGGACCTCCTCCGCCGCTTGCGGCCGCTGTCCTTCTCCGCTGCGCCCGCCGCCGCCCCGGGGGCCCCGGCCGCCTCCGCGGAGCCGGCGGAGGGCGGGCGTGCGGGCCGGGGCGAGGTGACCTGCAGCTCCTCACCGCCGCCGCCCCCGGCCTGCGCCATGCCCAGGTCGCTCGCCGCCAACCGGATCGCCTTCATCTGCAGCACCGTGAACTTCGCCGTGCCCCAGCCCGACGCGTGGATAGCCTTGGACTCGCCCTTGTCCAGCTGCTCCATCTGGTTCCGCACCTGGCCGCGGAAGTCGTGCAGGTTCCCCGCGCTGACGTATCGCTCCCCCTCCGCGTTCTCCTGGGAGAGGCTCACCAAGCCCAGCTCGGTGGCTATGCAGTGGACCACCTTGCGCTGCTCCTTGCTCAGGGCCGGCGCAAAGTCGTGGTGCTGCCCAGGCCCCAGCGCCTCGAGCGTCCCCCGGACCTCGAGCGCGAAGGCCTTCAAATTGAACACCTCGACGTACCTGTCGCTCCCGACGCCCGCCGAGTGTGTCCACAGCCCGAGCTCCTCAGCGATGAGGTGCACGATGCGGCGCTGCACCGCAGAGAGCCCGGCTGGCCGGAGGGTTCCAGAGGGGGTTTGGGCTGAGGGGGTTTTCCAGGAGGGGTGCCCCAAGGGCTTCGCACCCCCTGTTTTTTGACGAGGCTCCGAGGCCCCTGGGGGGCTCTCTGGAAAACCCCCTCCCCAAACACCCCCTTTGGGACCCTCCAAGCTGGAAACCTGTCCGTCTCGCCCGGGGCCAGGGCCTGCAGCCGCCGCCTCGCCTCCTCGGCGAAGGAGCCGACGTTGAAGGCCACCACCTGCCGGCGCGTGCCGCGGCCCTGCGTGATGGTCCAGAGGCCCAGGTCGGCGGCGAGCCAGATCACGACCTGGCGCTGCGAGAGACTCAGCTCCTTCTCGAACTCCAGGCTCTGGCCGGGCTCGATGCCCTCCAGCCTCCTGCGCGCTCGCTCCACAAAATCCGACATGTTGCCGACGAAGACGCCGGCTCCTGCAGGATCCAGGTCCCGGAGGTAGAGGCCGAGCTCCGAGGCCACCAGCCGAGCCAGGGCGAGCCCTCGGTCGCCCCAGACCTCGTCGGCCACCTCGATGCCCTCGCCCTCCGCCAGCGCCCCGAACTGCTCCCGCAGCCGGCGCAGGAGTGCGGCCTCCTCCGGGGTGAGCTCCCCGAGGCCGTCGAGGAAGGCCGCGCCGCCGCCGCCGCCCGCGGCCTCCGCAGCGCCCGTGCCCTCGCCGGCTCCGTGCTCTGCGCCGCCGGCGCGGCCGCCGCCGCCGTCGCCGCCGCCGTCGTCGCCGCGGCCGCCGCCCGCGCGCCCCCCGGCGCCCGAGGCGAGCGAGGCCCCTCCGGAGGCGGGGCGGTGGGAGCCCCTGCGCGCAGGCGCCCCGCCGCCGCCTCCGGCCTCGCGGCGGGCCCGCCGCTCCGCCCGCAGCCGCTCCGCGCGCTGCCGGGCGCGCTCCGCGAGGGAGGGGGCGGCTCGGCGGGCGCCCGCGGCCTCCTGCAGCAGCTCCTCGCCCATCTCCTCCATGGCCAGCGCAAAGAACTCCCGCCAGGACCGGAGGGAGATGTCGGTTCCGCCCCTGGCCATGGAGGCGAAGAAGTCGCGCGGGGAGGTGTCCGTCAGCTTCTTCAGGTCGATTCTCAGCAGCTTCACGCCGGTGTCCCACTCGAGGCTTGACATGTTTACGTTGCCGTTGATGTCAAACCACTTGAACGCGCTGTCCATGGACCCGAACTTGGCAACAAAAATATACAGGAGCGCCTTGATGCCCTCGAGCTTGCGTTCGGCCAACTCCTGCAGCAATGTCTCCTCTTCGGCCATCGCCAAGATCTCCACCTCGCTCACGGTCTCGACCGAGAAGGCGTGATCGCTGTGCAGCGCCTCAGCGATTGTGGCGCCCATGATGAAGGCCTTGGCGGAGAGCTCGCGCTCCCTGTCGCTCAGCCCGTCGCCCTCGCTGAGCCTCGGGAAGTGCGCCTCGATCACCTTCTCGTCCGTGACGCCGCTCTTGACCTCGATGACAGCCTCCGACTCCGAAGCGCCCGCCGTGCCGCCGCCATCGTGCGCCCCCAGCCCGGGCCCGGACTCCAGGCCGCGCCTCGCGCACAGTGGGCGCTCGTGGGCGCGGGCATCCTGGCCGGCCTCCGTGGCCTCGATGCCGTGCGGGCCAAGACTCGCCGACCACGCGGACACGCGCGCAGGCCCCGACGCTGCGACGGCGGCGCCTCGCGCCCCGCCGGGCGCCGCCGCAGCCGGCGGCGAGGCTCCCTGGGCCTCGCTGACCGTCGCGGTGCTGCGCTGCCTGCGGCGAGAGGCGGGCTCGCTGCCCGTGGCGTTCTCGTCGACCTCCGACCGAGGCATGTGCGCTTGCCTGGCCTCCTCGTAGCGCCGCTCTGCCTCCTCCAGCCTGGCCGCAGCGTCTGGGCCATCCAGCGCCGCCCGGAAGAAGTCGTACCACGAGTCCTGCGAGATCTGGCCGCCCCTCGACATCTCCAGGAAGAGCCTCCGCGCCGGCAGCCCGCAGACCTCCGCGGGGTCGATGTGCAGCACGCTCAGCCCTGCGTCGAACATCGAGCGACTCACCTTGCCGGTGCTGTTGCTGTTCATCTTCTGCCACGAGGCGCTCATTGAGCCACACTTGCCCACCAGCTCCACGGCCATCGCAACCTTCGCCTCCTCCAGGGTCATGGCGGGAGATCCGAGGGAACCTCCGGGCGCGCCCTCCGGCCTCCTCTCCAGCACCCCGCCGTTGTCCTGCGAGGCGAGGAGCTCCCCCAACGTGGCGAACGGCGCCCGCGTGCCTCTGGCGCTGCCGCCCCCTGCCAGCGCAGGGATCTCGCTCGGGCGGGACAGCCTCCCGGCGCCGCGTGCGGACCTCAGGAACCAGCAACCATAAACAGAAACTGTTGGCGCTCCGCGCGGACTTCTTCGAGCTGCGCTGGGCCCCCCTCCCCCGGCGCGCGGAGCGCGCCAGGGGCGGCGCTGGAGGCGCCGCCAGGGGGCACCCAGAGCGGATCCAAGACAAAAGTTTATGTTCATGGCGTTTCTTCTTCTTCTTCGAGACCTCCCCGCTGTGCGCGCCGACTGCTAATCCCCGGACCTCTCCCTGGGTGCGTTCTGACCAGGACTTCGGGGCGAAGCCAGCGGTGGCGACGAGGGCCTCCCAGGAGGCCCGCGAAGGGGAAAACGGGCGAAGGGTAGAGGTATGGGTGCCCTTTCCTCCTCTGAACCTCCCCGCCGTGCGCGCCGACATGGACACGTCGAAGTGCGGCAGCATGATCTGCTGCTGCAGCGGCGGCACCCCGGCCCGCGGCTGCAGCGGCCGCGGCTCCCGCGCCGCGGCCCTGCGGCGCACGGCCTGGCCGAGGATCGGCAGCCTCGGCCGTGCCCTGGCGCCGCTGGCAGCAGCGCCAGGCGAGGCCGCGCCCTCAGCAGCCGTCTCTGGGTACCCCTCCAGCGCGCCACCTGCCTAGCAGAAGAAACCACGCCACAAACACAAAACACAAAACTTTCGGCGCTCCGCGCGAGTTTCTTGGATCTGCTCTGGACCCCCCTCCCTGGCGCGCGGAGGCGCCGCCAGGGGGGCCCCCGCGCGGATCCAAGAAATCCGCGCGGAGCGCCAACAGTTTCTGTTTATGTGGCGTTCTTCTTCTCCGACTGCCGGCACCTGGGGGCCTATCGCGCCCGCCGCCGCGCTGCGCCTCGCCGGGGCGGGGCCTGCCGCGGGCGCGGGCGCTGCACCACCTCCGCCTCCCGCCTCCCGCACGGCGGAGCGAGGAGCCTGCACCAGCCGCCGCTCCACGCCCCTCGACGGGTGGGATTGCTCGGGGAGCGGGTAGAGGCCCGAGGGAAACGGCACGGTGGTCTCCATCGCCGGCCGCTGTGACGCGGTCCTCCCCACGGCCCCCTGAGCTTAGCCCAAGTGGCCGCGGATGTACACTCGGGGGACCTCCGCAAACCTCCGTGGGGTCTCCGGAAACCTCCTGGGAGCCTCCGGCGAGGGCACCTCTCTGGAGAGACCTCCGCGGAGACTTCGATACCTTCCTCAGCAGGCCTCCCAAGACATCCGGAGATCTGTCGCTGGCTTCGGCGCCCGCATGGGCCGTTCCCAGGCTGCAAAAAACGAGTCGGGGCTCAACGGGCCAGAGGCGTGCTAAAATCTCAGGTAACAAATGACTTGTATATCTAGTTCGCGCGCCCTGATGGGGCCCTGGACGAATAACACCCCAGGCGGACCCTGGCCAACTCCCGGGCGGTCGGTGTCACGGCTGCCAGAACTCCCAGGGGCGGTCGTGTGGGCCCTCGAGATCGCCACAAGGGACCACAAAGGAACACGCACACGTACACGCACCCGCACCCGCACGCGAACACACACGAACACACACACACACACACAGACACAGACACAGACACAGACACAGACACAGACACGGTCACACACACAGAGACACAGAGACACAGAGACACAGAGACACACACGCAGACACACAGATATACACACAGACACACACAGACACACACAGACACACACAACACACAACACAAAACAACACAACACACACACACCTAACAACACACCTAACAACACACCTAACAACCCACACAACAACACACACAACAACACACCTAACAACACAAACAACACACCACACACACAAAGCCACACAACACCACACACACAACACCAACACACACCAAACACAGCACCACACACAACAACCTACACGCAACAACACACACAACAACACGCACAACAACACACACAATACCACACACACACACACCAACACTCACAACGACACACACACGCACACACACGCACACACGCGCACACACACACACGCACACACACGCACCAACACGCAGACACACAGACACAAAGACACACCGGCACATAGACACACATACACACAGACACACAGACATACAGACACGCAGGCACACAGACACACAGGCACACAGACAGACAGACACAAAGACACACACAGACACACACAGACACACACAGACACGCACACACACACAGACACACACACGCAGACACACAGACGCACACACACAGACACACATATACAAAGACACACACACACACAGACACACACAGACACAGACACACATAGAGACTTACAGACACACACACAGAGACACACACAGACACACACAGACACACACACACCCACACACACACAGGCACACACAGACACACACACACACACCCACACCCACACCCACCGACACACCCACACACACAGGCACACACAGACACACACCCACACCCACACCCACCGACACACCTACACCAACACCCACACCAACATCCACTCCCACACCCACACGCACACGCACACGCAAACGCACACGCACACGCACACGCACACGCACACGCACACGCACACGCACACGCACACGCACACGCACACGCACACGCGCACGCGCACGCGCACGCGCACGCGCACGCGCACGCGCACGCGCACGCGCACGCGCACGCGCACGCGCACGCGCATGCGCACGCGCACGCGCACGCGCACACGCATTTGCACGCGCACGCGTACGCGCACGCGCACGCGCACGCGCACGCGCACGCGCACGCGCACGCGCACGCGCACGCGCACCCACGCACGCACGGACGCACGGACGCACGTACGCACGTACGCACGGACGCACGTAGGCACGTACGCACACACGCACGCACACACCCACACCCACGCACCCACACACACAGCCGGTCGCAAACGGATCGGATCGCCAACGACTCGTCCCGAAGCGAATCGCAATCGGATCGTCAAAAACCGGCTTCGGCTGGCCCTGGCCGATGCCGGTGAATCGAAGCACAACGAAACGAATCGGAATTGCGCTCGCACCAAGCAAACCGAGTCGCATCGAATCGGATCGTGTGCGGACCTGCCTTGTGACCCTCCTCGGTGCTGCTCGAGTGAGCCCCGCACCCCCGAAGGCCCCAATGGGCGACGGGCTGCCTGGGCGCGTGATCGCCAGTGAAGGAGGAGGAGGGGGAGGAGGAGGAGGAGGAGGAGGAGGAGGAGGAGGAGGAGGAGGAGGAGGAGGAGGAGGAGGAGGATGAGGAGGAGGAGGAGGAGGCGGAGGGGGAGGAGGAGGAGGAGGAGGAGGAGGAGGAGGAGGAGGGGAAGGAGGAGGGGAGGAGGACGAGGAGGAGGAGGAGGAGGACGAGGAGGAGAGGAGGAGAATGAGGAGGAGAGGAGAGGAGGAGGAGGAGGAGGAGGAGGAGGAGGAGGAGGAAGGAGGAGGAGGAGGAGGAGGAGAAGGGGGAGGAGGGGGCAGCGCGCCCCCCCCCTGCAGGAGAACAGGTGGGGGGGGGAGGAGGCGCAGGCAGGAGCGGGGCCAGAGGCGAGGGCGCGCGCGAGCGCAGTGGGCGCGCACCGGGGGGAGAGGTATAACTGGCGGCAGGAGCGCAGGGATCGTCTTCGCTGCGAGAGGTCGCTCCCTCTCGCAGCGATCGCGCAATCTCTCAGGCCCACCTCTGTAGGAGGCCAGAAAATTCTCCCCCCCCATGATAACCACCCCGGCAGGCGAGGCCGTTTCGCAAACGCACGCGAAGAAGGAAACGAACAAGGTGGGGCTGTTCAGCACACGCCCAGGGCCGTTCAATCATCGAATCTGGGTGTTTTTTCCCCGTAGACCTTGCTGCGCGCAAGAGTGCACCAGGGTAAGAGTGACCTTTGGTGCGCTGCTTTTTGGGGGGGCCGCGGGGTGACCAAGCACATGCGCGCAGGACGCTGCTATCGCATCGCGTTCGGAAGATCGGGGGTTCCCACTGGGCCCGCACCAGGGGTCACGCCGTCTGGTCGGCACTTCTTGTTCGTGCCGACATGCTCTCCAGAGAAAGACGCTGTCGTGGAAGAAAAGGCGGGGCGGCGGGCGCAGGGGGCAGGCTGGGGGAGGAGGTAGCGAAAGAGTCAAGCCGATCTTCCCCACGGGAGGCCGTACTATCTCCTTGCCGTGGGGAGGGAACAGCTCAACATATCCATAGCATACACATATGCACAAGTACACCTACATCTACATGTAACTTTACATATACACATACCGATGCATGCACATATGTACACGTAGACATACGCATACATATGATTATCTGTAAATATATACATACCAATATTCAGACGCATCTACATACACACATGTTTATGCACACGTATATACGTATACGTGTAACATACATATGTGTGTACATTTGCATACACATATATACATGTGCACAACGTATTCATACACATATACACAACACACATAAGTATATACATACTTACGTACATCCATACATGCATGCACGCATACACACAACCATACGCGCATACATATACATCTACATATACAACTACATCTGCAGATACTGCACACATATACACATACAAATCCATGTTCACATACATGTACACACATACATGCGTAACCATACATGTGTACGAATATCTTGCTCAGGCGTATCGTCAATTTCGTTGCCCTGCCTCTCTCACACGCGAGGCAGGGCTGCACGGGGCGCAAGGCTGGGGTCGGTGGGCAAGCATTTTATGACGGCCGTCCGGCTACGATCAGGACGTTTTGCTTAGCGTCTCGCGGCAGCGGCCCTGGCGACACGCTACAGTGGAGGCCCGTCCACAGGAAACCTTCCACAAGAAACCTAATCCTGAGACCCCAGGGCGTCCCTTGCTTTTTGGTGCGGGAACGCCTTCCAGAGCAACACCATCGACACCGAAGCGACCCAGGGCACCCTGGAGGCACGCAGGGTGTTTCTTGGCATGGGCCCTTAACTGTATGCCATGCGAGCTGGTAGCGTGTCGCTCCGCTCCGCGGGGCGGGATGCCAAGAAAGGCTCGAGACTGTTTGGCGTGTCGCAGCAAGGGGTGGTTGGCCAAGACTGGGCGGTACGACACGCCAAACCGCAACTCATGACCATGTCATGGTTGTCACCGTATCTATCTGAGCACAGACAAGACGGGAAGGGGGATCGGACACTTTTCCCGACCCCCAAAGAAGTGTCGCCAACACGAACACTGCTCGTAACCAAACATGCACTGCAACCCCACTCAGCGAAAAGTCGTTCCGCTTCGCAACAATCCTTCAATCTCACAAGTCCTCGTCTTCTTCATATCGACCCGTTCTGCAACGAACATCGCTGCTATGGGAGAATACCATTCCGTAGCAGCCGCATGTCGCCAAGCAGTTCGCGAGCGTCACAGAAGACGACGCAAACATGCGAACGCGCCAACGGAGTTAAGAAAGGAGGCAGACAGGAACAAGGATGCCGGGCGGCAACAACTCCTTTTGATGCACAGCGCGTTGGGTGATCCCCTAACCCCGAACCGTCTGCCAACACCGCACATGACATCCTCCACGACTTGGGGATAAAGACCACCAAACAAGCCAGGACCGTCACACGAGCAGCCGCCAAAAGTGAACGCGTCAGTGGTAGAAGGAAGAAACAAGTGACGAGGGAAGCAGGCCGAGGGCAACATCTCCTTTTGCTGCAGATCGCCTCAGACGCCGCTTTCGCTACCTTGGGCGACCCGTCCAATTCCGTACTCTTGATCTTCCTGCTCGTGCTGCTCCTCCTGCTGCCTTCCTCCTCGTCCTCCCTCCTCCCTCCCGCCTCCTCCTCCCGCTTCCTCCTCCTGTCTTCATCCTTCTCCTCGTCCTCATCCCTTCCACCCTTTGCTTGTCCTCTCCCTTTTCTTCTTCTCCTCCTCCTCCTCCTCCTCCTCCTCCTCCTCCTCCTCCCCCGCCTTGTTTCAAACCATTGAAGGTCAAACCCTTCTGGCAATACGTGCGCCCGCGTACCGCGTGTCGGTTTGGCGATCGTTTCGCTGGGCCACGCACGCCCGCGACTTGAAGGGCGGCCAAGCGGGCGGCGGAAGTGGCGTGTCGGTTATATTTATACATATAAATGTATATGTTCCCACTTTTGCTTCTATACGTATATATATATATATATGTGTGTGTGCAACTAGAGCGGGGCCGGGCTACTGCAACATATCGCACACGCGACAAGCCAGCACGGCCACGAAGCAAGGACTTCTCTGTTGTTCTGCTTGCCGACGCTCTTGGGTGTTTATGCAGAAGGTGGGCAAACCAGGATGGGAGGCATGTCGCGGGCGCACCCTGACGACAATGCGCGTCAACGAAGAGGTGGAGCACTAGATCTGGTGGTGGCGTTGCTGCCGCAGTAGGGACGGGCCCCAGACAACCACGACACCAAGGCGCAAAGGGCACTCCTGGCGGTCTGCCCTGGGCTTGCCGATGTCTGGATGCCACCTTCCACAGTTACGGCAGAGGAAAGGCTGGCATCAGGATCTACGGCAGTTGCCCGTCCATCAAGGGCGAATCAAGCCACAGCGTATTGCAGCTCAGAGCTCACGGCGAAGCATATAGAACACATTGCTTCGCGTTGTGAGATTCAATCGAAACTGGGTGGTTTGGTGCGGCAGACATCAGCAGGTGCAGCATCGGGGGCAGCTACTACAGCGGGGGATGGAGAGGAGTTCCATGAGTTATCTGCTGGGGAGATGGGTACCCAGAATGAAGGAGGCAAGGGCGCGAGGCTGCGAGGGAGGCATCTAAGAAAACAATCAAGACTCAAAACAGCATCATAAACAGGTAAGAACGCCACGGACGCAGCTGAGCGGCTCCACCGAGTGCACTCGACAGTCCAGCGCAAGAACGGATCCTCTGGACAAGCGGATGCAAGTGCGGAGGAGAAAGCTAACGGGAAAGAGATTGGGACATCGGATCCCGGGGACTTCAACGACCCAGATGCAGTCGACCGCTATCAAGGCCAAGACGCGTGCGCCGACAACGGCGGCCTCGGCTGGGAGCGGCAGTAAGGGAGAGGGTCAGCCGTATGGGTAACCCATCTCCTTCGACACTTGCGCTTAGCTCAAGTGCAGCAGCCGTGGGAAGCGCGATGCGAGTGCCGTTCGCGAATGTTGCGTTTTTTGAGGGGAATGCTAGCAAGTACATCGGGCATTCAGTTTTCGATGTGGTTTGGTTAGCGACGCATCATCAATTAGCCCCTGCGACGAGACTTGAAACAACGACGAGCTTGAGACGGCCGGGCTGGCAGTCAGAGCTCACGTGGGCGCCGGCGGTGCAGACGGGGAGGAGTGCGAATGGTACTCGCGGAGGCGCGCGCTCGATTCCACGAGCGCGGCTGCAGACGTCTGCGCACTTACCAGATGGGACTTGCAGACGTGCGTTTCAAAAAGAGCTCAGAGATGCGTAGGTGACGATGTGGGGGCTTCAAAGGTTTGCCATCGGATCGATAGTTGTGCGCCCTGTTCGCGGCAATGGGTTTGACGACATCAATGCTGGCAAGACGGTTCAGGTTTTGGGAGTCGCCAAATCAAGTGACATTCCACGGGTTATTCCAGGACACTGGAGCAACGCCCGCGAGCAGATGAGTAGAACGTCCTGGCTGAAGGCGCTTGGGGGTGAGCTCCTGCTGCCGCGACGGTCCATTGCCTGCGCCTCGGGCAAAGGGGTAGTGTTGGACTGTGGGGTGCGCTCGAGGGGCGTCCTGCCGTTGGTCGAGGAGCTCATGCCGGTCCGGGGCGCGCCGTGGGCGCCTCATGTGGGGCTAGAGCCTGCGCTGTGCGCCCAACTGGCAGCGGTGCCTCTGGGAGTGCCAGCCGCGCCCGGTCGAGCCTCAGGCGCCAATCGTCAAAGTCAGGGCTTGCACGAGCGCCGCGACGCACCCGAGAGACCGCGAGGTGCGGGCGAAGTGCCAGCCGCAAGCGGGAGCGTGCCGATCACGGGAAGGACGCCTACATCATCGCGATCATGACCACATATTGGATGAATGCTATGAGAGGGAGCTCACGGCCACAGTCCCGGACGGTCAGTGGACGGAGGCACTTTCGAGCACGTGGTAGCTGGCAACAGATGGGGTGGGCGAAGTGGCGGCGCCATGTGCTTTCAAGAGAGGCCCCAGGGCGGCCGCGTCACTGGCGGCGCACCTTGGAGAGTGGACAGTGGCAGCTGAAGAGTCACCATGCATCATGGGGGACTTCAAAAGCATGACGACCAAGCGAGGGTGCGTCTCTAGGTGCATCCGGCAGAAGGCGATGCAATAGGGTGGGCCCGTTCATGCGTGCAGCTGCTCGAGAGGAAGCCAACTACGGGCATGCTATCGCGCCACGAATGAAGGAGCTTGGCAGCCTCTAGGCCCGAGGTGCTCAAGTACTAGAACTGCGCAGAGTGCGAGACCACTGATGGGCGGAGACACTGGGTTGCGGTGTGAAGGGACTGCGGCGTAGGCCAAGCGCAGGTGCGGGACCAAGGGGTGGACGTGAGTGTGCTGAAGCAGATGGTCACGCCTTATGCCTTGAGGACATCAACATGGATATCACCGAAAGCCGCGTGATCAGGAACGCCGTGCACTCCAGCAACACGAGGGACAAGGGCATCGTGAACCTGATCAATAGGACCCCTGAATATTAGTGTTGCCCTGGTACAGCTACTCCGTCTGGGCATGAGTTTAGACTGGAAGCGAAGGTCCCAGTGAACCGAGACTCAACTACCTGCGAACTTTGACACATCTCCCCGAAAGCCAAAGCCGCGCGAATCCTGCTCGCCCATCTTGGGAAAGACCGTGCTCAGATGCCGCCTTGTTGGATCCGTGGGCCTCGAACAGTCTGAGCAACAATCCTGGAAGCCCTGCTCGGGAAAGGCCAGGTTCATGCGTGGCCACGTTGGGTCCGCTTCCTGGCATGTGCCAGAGCGATGCTGCGGAGACTGGCCAAGTGGCGCCCGGGCCCAAGAGTTGCCTTGACAACCCCGACCGCGACCTTTCGAGGGCCTTGGGTGGGATGTGAGTGTGTGTGTGTGGGGATGGACCAAGCGAACCGATGCCGCAAACAGGTGTCGGGCGCTCTGAACAGCAACGATGCTGTTTCCATTGATACAGTGAGATGGGGTCTTTACAGCAAGCCCTGGTCCGGCCGAAGCAGGCGTGGGGTCGTCAGGGGCAGGGCGGGGCCATGGCGCTCCTGGCAACGCGGCCCTGGCCTCTGCCCAAGTAGCTCCCCTCTCGCCGCCAGTATCCCGTGGACAGGTGAAGACGTGGGGGCGAGGGGCAATGGCGGGGAGACGGAGACGACAGCAGCGACTTCAGCGACGTCAACTGATGGTGGAGCAGGGGGGCGGCAGGCAGGCCGACAGAAAGTCAACCAAGTGCCCTTCGTCCATCGAGGTCAGGGCCTTCAGCCCACCAGGGAGCAGGGCAACGCGGACCGGAGTCCCTCAGGGAAGTTGGTGGCGGATGCCTGCGAGGGAGCAGAGCGGCGCGTGGCGTTGGTGCGGCAGGACAGGGCGCGCGCGCGCTGGCAAGCGGCTGGGCAGCCACGGCAAGGGGTGGTCCCATGGGGCAGGCGCGCCGATGCCTCCCCAGAAACGAGCGCACCGAGACCAGTGGCGCACGTCCGACACCGAGCAAGCAGTGCTGGGGGATGAGCCCGTTGGAGGAGATCTGGCTCGGGCGGGGTGCCCGGGGGGAAAGATGGGCGGCTCGCGCCGGTTGCGTCAAGGAGATGGGCGGGCGTCGGGGCCGAGTGCGGGGGCGAGCGCAAGCGGGCCCGGCAGAAGGGCCCAGGCTTGTGGTGGAGCAGCTGGGCGCAGCGCTGGGCGCGTTCCCAGGTGCGAGCAGGCGCAGCCTCGTCAACGCCGTCAATATGTGTGAGCGAACGTTACAATGGTTGCACCACTTGACCCAGACGTGGCATGCCCCTCTCCCACGTACGCACTGCCGAAAGCCGACGAACCAATTGCAGGCGAAGAAGAGCCGATTGGACTGCTGCCAGTTCCTGTGCGAATCTGGGGTAAACATGCCAAACTTGGCCTCGCGGATTGGAGTGATCAACGGGCTGGTTTCTGGAATGCAGCAGCAGTAAGGAACAATCCCAAATTCCAGTCGTCGCTCCCGACACTAAATCTGGATGAATGTAGGACTCGCGAGGAAGCAAGCCGGGCAACGTTCTTCCAGGACCTCGAGAAGGTCCATGATCTGGTGGACTTGGGGGCCCTAGCCACAACTTCGATGAGCCTGGGTTTCTACTGGTGGAGCGAAATATGTTCACCATGCCGCGCATTGGCCCGAGGTTGGTAACAGTCAACCGCAACTACAGCAGCTGCAATGTTCCAAATGCTGGCATCGTACAAGGATGTGGGAAGGCAGACGGTTGTGCTAGAACCATGCTGTATCATGTGCCAGGTCAGATACATAGAGACGTACCCCTCGCAGGCATACGACAGTTTGTAGATGATCTGTCCATCTGTGTGGAGGGCCCTGTGGGGTTTGCGTGGGACCAGCGATAACCGCAGTATCGAGTGTCCTTGTCCTGGGCTGCATTCGAGCTGGGCTACGTATCTCGGACACATCAACTATCGTGACCCTCGCGCCCCAAGATGCAGACGCGGCCATCGAAGTGATGGTCGAGAGTAGCATCAACATCAAGATGAGAGTCGTCACGAAAAACATGAGTGCGGACAGCGCCATGGGGACCTCTGGGGCTCGGGAGACAGCTGGTACACGAGAATGGCTACGTCGGATCAGAGCCTTGAGAGCTAGAATTGTTGGGCATCTAGGTGACGCTGCTACGCGTGGGCGAACGCTGCTGTACAATGGCAACGCAACAGGCCACGATGTCCCCCGCGGAAATCCGCAAGCGGCGGATCCTAGCGGCTGTCCTGACTGGCCTTGGGAAGCGGAAGCGCTGCACCTCCACCGTCATGCTACTGCTTCCTCGAAGGTCTGACCCGTGGGGGGCGTGCGTGCGTTGGCAGCGTAAATGAAGGATACGAACAAACACCCTACCCTGGGTTACAAGTGCGTGGTCTGTAAACCTCCTGGGAACGCCCAAAGCCTAGAGAGCCGCCAGGACGTCGCACATCACGCAGGGTTTACGCTGTTAGCCCACAGGAGGTTCAGCGAACAACGCCTTGTAAACAATGGTAGGGGCGTTTTTTTGCGCCCTTGATCAAAAAGTGGCTGCGCTGCTGGGCCCAGAACCCCTCGACGAGGCAGCACGTGCGTGGGGGTGGACGGCCGCTGCGTTCGAGCTTGCGAGGCTCCAGGCTATAGCGAGCTAGGGGGCTGACGCAAGCTCTGTGCAAACCATGGTTTTGACTGTCACGGCCTTGGGGCGGTTCGGGATTGAACCTGCTTGTTGGGGGGGGCACCGTGCCCTTGCAATGCCCGCCTCAATCGTCCGTGCATCGAGCGCACGAGTGGACTGTGTGCCAGAACGGCCAAAGATGTAGACGCAAGACACAATGAGTCGTTGTGGCTTCGGAATACAATTTCCAACTCCTGGGGCAGTGTGCCGTCGCCACCTGACCAGGGGGACCGCGGTCAAGTTAGAGTTCGAGCCGCCGCTGCCCAATGCGCACCCGTCGGCCCCACTGGAGATACCCAGGGTTCCGTAATCAGCGTTCGGGCCCAGGTCGCCTATCTGGATGGCTCTGGCACCTCCTCGGGCCCTCGGACCCTGCAGGGTGGGGCGGGGTGCTTTCCTTCGAGTGGCTTGTAGCGCCCCTGCATCGCTGCCACGCTGGAGCGGATCGGCCCGCCTCGCTGCCGACGGGACAAGTTGTCCTCCACGTGGGTGCTGATATCCTTCCACCGTGGGCGAGGCCTCGGAGAGCTTCCTCCTCTCGGCGGGCGGTGCGAAGGTGTGCGGGCGGCGAACAGAGCGCAGCCGTCAGCTCAGCCTCTGCTGCTCCGTGGTGGTGCCTCTGTCTGACAAGAAGAGGCCCGACGATTGTGTGCAAAGATCGCCAGCTGGCTTTTTGGACGGGTGGACGGGTGGCACGAAGGTGGGAGCGAGGACGGTGGCAGCTAGTCGCAGAGGCCGCGGGCCGACCCCATCCAATCGAGTCGAGCAAAAGTGCTATTCCCGTCGGGATGCTGTTTCGCATGCTCGTCTCAGACCCGATCTGTGCTCGTGTCCAGGGGGAATGGGGTGGCTGACGCCTATGCCCAGCGTGGGTCCTTAGAGGCGGCGGCCTGGATTCGGTTTCATGCCAAGGCCCTCCACCAGGGGGTCGCGCTCGCCACCTTGGCGCATCAGCGCCAGTCGGCGGTGCTCAGCTTGCTGGCCGCCGAGGCCGCCAGCCAAGACCGTCCCGCGTGCGAGGAACCCGAGGCGGGGAGGGGGCGAGGTCTCGAGGAATGCCGTGGCCCTTGAGGGCGAGTCGAGGCACTCGGTGTGACGGGTGGCCTCTGGAGGGCGGGCGTGCCATCTCTGTCGCCAAGGCCCTGGCAAGAGCTCGCTGCCGGACTGGCTCGGGGCCTCCAGATGTAGATGTCACCTCGCCGATACAGAAGTCGGCCATGCTGGAACCCCTGTCGCTGTGCCACCCCGAGCAGCTTGTGAGTTGAAGACTGACTTTCGTTCGGTCCACCCCACCCATGCGGTGGGAATGCTCCATTGGCTGGTTTGGTGCTGGAAGTGCGCGCACTACGGGAGTGTGGCGAGGGGCGGGGGGGATCATCAAACTGGCGACTTAGTGCGAAGAGAAGATCACCCCTCGGGCCGCAATTATGTCAACTGGATAATGCAAAGCAGGCGTCCCACGCCAGGGCAGTCCTGGCCGATCGCCCCAGGAGTGGAAGGAATGGCATGCCAACCCTGCACAGCTGTGCGGAACTCTTCTCTGAAGAAAAAGTCCCGCAAATAATCGATGCCTGGGCCACATCTGCAGGTTGTGCTTCGAGCCAGCCGTGTCATAAATGCTGACTGTCTTCTGTAACCTCCTCCCCCGCCTTCTCCTCCTTTCTCCTCCTCCTCCTCCTCCTGACAGGCAGCCAAGAGAGGGCGGGTCTGTCTTCGTTGAACTCAGCGTCCGCGGTGGAGCGCAGCACGGACTTGTGGCTCCTCCTCCTCGTCCTCCTCCTGGCTTCTCCTCCTCCTCCTCCTCCTCCTCCTCCTCCTCCTCCTCTTCCTCCCCCTCTCCCCTCCCTCCTCCTCCTCCTCCTCCTCCTCCTCCTCCTCCTCCTCCTCCTCTTCCTCCTCCTCTTCCTCCCCCTCCCCCCCCTCTCCCTTCTCCTCCTCCCCACCTGCGCCTGCTGCGCCTCGCGCTTCAGTCGCGCCGCCTCCGCGTCCTCGCCGGCGCCAGTACCTGCAAGGTCGTCGTCGTCGCCGCCGCCGTCGGTCGCTGGTCGTCGTCGTCGTCGCGCTGTCGTCGTCGCCGTCGCCGTCGCCGTCGCCGTCGCCGTCGCCGCCGCCGCCGCCGTCGTCGTCGTCGTCGTCGTCGTCGTCGTCGTCGTCGTCGTCGTCGTCGTCGTCGTCGTCGTCGTCGTCACCGTCGGCCGTCGGTCAGTCGGTCGGCCGTCGTCGGTCGGTCGTCCGTCGTCGTCCTTGGCTGGTCGTCGTGGGTCGTTTCGCTGGTTATCCTTCACCGCTCGTGGTTGGACGTCTGTCGTCCGTCGTCGTCTACGTTGTCGTCGTCGCTGTGGTCGTCTTCGGCGTCGTCGTCGGATGGCGAGAAGCAGGACGGAGGAGACGGAGGACGAGGATGGGGAGGAGAAGCAGGGGGACGAAGAGAGGGGTAATAATCAGGGGGAAGAGCGGGAGGAGATGGAGAGGGAAGAGGAGGGAGGATGATGAGCCTGCTCCTCCTCCTCCTCCTGCTCCTCGTCGTGCTCCACCTTCGTCTTCCTCTGCCTCCCCCTCCTCCTTTGTTTTCCTCCGCACTCCGTCTCCCTCTCGTCCTCCTCCTGCCATGTTTTCCTCCCCCTGCTCTTCCTCATCGTCTTCCTCCTCCTCCTTCTGCTCGCCCGTTGCACTTTGCGCGGAACCACCCCAGAAAACCAACAAGGAACCCCGACTACCTCCAGGACCTCCCGAAGCCTCCATGGAGTACCGAAAAGCCCCCGAACCCTACCCACTCTGGTCGTCGCTCTCCTCCTCCCGCTCCTTCCGCTCGCCGTCGTCGCCTTGGCGTCGCCATCGTCGCCCCTGCTGCCGCCGCCGTGGCCGTGGTCGCTCTCGGCGCCTCTGGCGGCCTCGAAGGAGCCGGGCGAGGTGCTGACGGGCGACCAGGGTGGCGCCGCTACCAGTGGCTTCCTGAGGAGGAAGTCGCTGTCGTCGCAATCGTCCTTCTTCTTCTCCTCCTCCTCCTTCTCCAATGCTTTTCCTTATACATAGCTTCTCCCGGTAGCACACCGAGAACAATCTTTAAGGCGGGCGGGGCGTTTCACCTGAGACGTCCTTACCGTTTACGACTTTGACGCTTCAAACTTGGCAACGGTTTCACGGATTGAGGGCGGATGGTTTTCAAAATGTGGCTCTCGCCTTCGCGCGGCGCACATTCGTTTTAAGAGTTTGCAAGAGTTTCACGGATTGAGGGCGGGTGGTTTTCCAAATTTGGCTCTCGCCTTAGCGCGGCGCACATTTCCTTTCACAATTTGCAGGAGTTTCACGGAGTGGCTCTCGCCTTAGCGCGGCGCACATTATTTTCAAACGTTTGCAAGAGTCGGGTGGTTCTGAAAATGTGGCTCTCGCCTTCGCGCGGCGCACATTCCTTGTAAAACATTGCAAAAGCTTCACGGATTGAGGGCGGGTGGTTTTCGAAATGTGGCTCTCGCCTTAGCGCGGCGCACTGTTGTTTTAAACATTTGCAAGAGCTTCACGGATTGAGGGCGGATGGTTTTCAAAATGTGGCTCTCGGCTTAGCTTGGCGCACATTCGTTGAAAACGTGTGCAAGAGTTTCACGGATTGAGGGCGGATGGTTTCAACATGTGGCTCTCTCCTTAACGCGGTGCGCTTTTATTTGACACATTTGCAAGAGTTTCACGGAGTCCCATCATCAACGTGCCAGAAACCGTGTTTTGAAAGGGGTCAGGATTACGCCGGTGCCGCAATTAGGTTGATTCGCTGCTGAAGTCTCAAGAATGGCGTTCTTGCGCGATTCAGGATTGTCAAGACGCAACAGTCAGGTTGATCCGTGGCGTTGGGATCCCGAGAACAAGGTTTTGGCATGCTTCAGGGTCTTCAAGCGGTTGTCTTCCAAAGAGGCAGTTCCTTCAATGGAAATGAACCGTTGTAGGGGCCTATGAAGAGGGAGCTTGGAGGGAGGGTTTATTCCAACATCGTTGATGACTCTTGGGTTTACACTGAACCACCTCCTCCTCCTCCTCCTGCTGTTGCTGCTGCTGCTGCTGCTCCCCCTTCCACGCTTTGCCTGGCTCTCGGCCCTTGAGGGTCGAAGGGGGAATGGTTTGAGCGTGTGCTTGGCTGCACCTGGAAATTTTTGAAAAATTTTGGGCCTCTTGGGGTCAATACAAGACCTCCAGGGTCAGGATCCGGGGCGGAAACAAACCTTGCCAGGTCCTCTGCTCCTGATCCGGATCCCTATCCTCCTCCTCCTCCTCCTCCTCAACTTCCTCCTCCTCCTCCTCCTCCGCCTCCTCCTCCTCCTCCACTTCCTCCCCAGGAGGGCGAAGGGGAACTGGAGGATGAAAGGAGGATGAGGAGGGGGTGGAGGCGGAGGTGGATGAGACGTATGTCATCACAAGTTGATGATTCGGAACGGCAGGCAGAGGCGTTGGCGAATCGTGATCAAGCCGCGGTCGCAACAATTTGCATACTGTCTTGCCGGCGCATTGTAGGAACATCACAAGATGTCCGACCTGCCGCGCGCGTCTTGGCACATCGATTTACGGACGAAACCACGCAGTGGAGGAGCTCCGATTTGAGATCGCCCAACTCCTGAGCAAGCTGAGCGCTTGGCCGCAGCGCATTCGAAGAGCGATGGGAAGCACCATTGATAGTCGGAGCGGGGGCAGATGACTAGGAGGAGGAGGAGGAGGAGGAGGAGGAGGAGGAGGAGGAGGAAGAGGAGGAGGAGGAGGAGGAGGAGGAGCCGGAGGAGCCGGAGGAGCCGGAGGAGGCGGAGGGGAGGAGGAGGAGGAGGGGGAGGAGGGAGAGAGGAGGAGGAGGAGTAAGAGGAGCAGAAGGAGGAGGAGGAGGAGGAAGAGGAGGAGGGGGGAGGAGGTGGAGGGATGATGAGGAGGATGAGGAGTAGGAGGACTGCCTGCGCTATTCACTCGGACGCCCAGGGGGGCAGTATTCGTAATACACGATCGCGCACACACGCAGATTCGGGGAGCGGGGGGGGGAGGGGCGCAGCTCCTCCTCCTCCTCCTCCGCCTCCTCTCCTCCGCTCCTACCCCCTCCCTCCTCCTTCTCCCCTCCTCCTCCTTCCTCTCCTCCCCCCTCCCTCCTCTTCCTCCCCTTACCTTCCCTTGCCCTGCTGCTGCTGCTGCTCCTCCTCCTCCTCCCTGAACAACCCCGCGGAGCGCCCAAGAAACACCCCGAGCCGCCCGTCACCGTCCGGAGACCTCCGTCTTTCAGCCCCGACGACAATGCAACCCTGGAGGGGACAAAACAGGTACCGATGCCCTATGGTCACCTACTTTCGCGCGTCGCGCCCCGCGAGGCGCGTTGCCCTTCGCGCCCTCGCGCTGCCGCCCAGGAGAAGAGCGCTCCTCCTCCTCCTCCTCCTCCTCCTCCTCCTCCTCCTCCACCCTTTCCTCCTCCCCTCCTCTATCCTCGCCATCGCTCGCAAAACCCCTCTCCTCCTCCTATCGTCATCATTCATCATCATCATCATCATCATCATCATCATCATCATCATCATCATCATCATCGTCATCAGCATCATCATCATCGTCATGATCATCAGTATCATCATCACCATCACCATCATCAGCATCATCATCACTATCATCATCAGCATCGTCACCATCACCATCATCATCACCATCATCAAGCAATCAATTAATCAACCAACCATCATCAGCATCATCATCATCATCACCATCACCATCATTATCACCATCATCATCACCATCATCATCATCAATATCATCATCATCATCATCATCATCATCATCATCATCATCATCATCATCATCAATATCACCATCACCATCACCATCATCATCATCATCATCATCACCACCACCATCATCATCATCATCATCATCACCATCATCATCATCATCATCACCATCATCATCATCATCATCATCATCATCATCATCATCATCATCATCATCGGCATCAACATTATCACCATCATCACCAGCATTATCATTATCAGCATCAGCATCATCACCATCATCATAATCATCATCATCCTGCCTCCTCCTCCTCCTCCTCCTCCTCCTCCTCCTCCTCCTCCCCCTCTTCATCTTCTTCTTCTTCTTCCTCCTCCTTCGTCCTTTTGCGTCTAAATCTCCTAGAGCCTCCTCGGGAAGCTAGGGAGCACGCTGTTCTGGTGGGCCAAGGCGGCTTCTCGTTGGGTGTTCTGTCCTCCAAGAACGAGGCCACCCTACCTTTCCTGACTCGCGTTTCTCACGGGTAGGCTTGCCCTCAATGCACACCCTTGCAAAATGGTCCCAACACTTTGGGGCTGAAAAAGAGGACCGGCCCATCGTTAACCTGTTCCGCAGCGGTCGGTGCCCTTTACGCAGCAAGCGCAGCCACGCCGTTTGTCTCTGGCTGCAGTTTTGTTTGCGCTCGGTCTGATAGACCGCTTGGAGGCGGCGGTCCTGGGCAAACGAGAGCTGTATGCCCGTGCTGCAGCCCAAGTCTCGTAGGGAGGACCCTGACCCCTCGGGGTCCGAGAGCACCTCGTCGGATGTACGTTCCCACCTCTATTTCCCTCCTCTCCTCGCTTTCTCTGGCCTGGCCCTCCCTCTCCCCTCCCTCAGTGGGCAGTACACCTCTCCTCCTTCCTTCCCCCTCCATGACCTCCTCCTGCCTCTCCCTTTTCTCCTCGCCCGCGCTTTCGTCGTCCTCCTCCTCCTCCTCTTCCTCCTCCTCCTCCTCCTTCCTCGCCCCTCCTCGTCCTCATCCTCCTCCCCCTCATCCCCCTCCTCCCCCTCCACGACCGGAGACCCGGACTCGATCTTTCTGCGCCGTTTTCGAGCCAGAGCGATCTGTGAGGGTCACAGGGCCCAAAACAGAGTGAAAACGCCCGTGGTGAAATAATCGCAGCGCCAGGATCTCAGGGTCCTCCTCGTCCCTCCTCCTCGGCCTTCTGGGACGGTCCGCCCCCTCCTCTTTCTCCTCCCTCCGTCCTGCTCGCCGCCCCATGCCCCCTCCTCCTCGCTCCTCCCCACTCCACAATTACTCAATATGAAAATACTCTCCCTCTTCCCCTGATGGCGTCCGGGTGATGGCCGCGCACCCTCCGCGTACTGTTTTTTGACACACCGGATTCCCAGGAAATCCCGGGAAACGACTCTCGCTGAGGAGCCGGCGCCATTTTTTCCCCAAATGCTGCTCTCGTTGAGGCGCCGGCCTCATTTCTGCTTCCGAATCGTTCCGAATCGCGCTCCCGCTGCAGCGTGGGCCTCATTTTCGGATCGGTGTTTGGCCTCCGTCGTTCAGGATGGCGTTCTCGCCCCAGCGCGGGCCTTTTTCTCGCGCGCCCATCCGCCCGCCACCACCGCGCCGCACCGCCACCACCACCACCACCACCACCACCACCACCACCACCACCACCACCACCACCACCACCACCACCACCACAACCAGCACCAGCACCAGCACCAGTACCAACACCACCACCACCAGCACTACCACCACCACCAGCACCACCACCACCACCACCACCACCATCACCACCACCACCACCACCACCACCACCACCACCACCACCACCACCACCACCACCACCACCACCACCACCACCACCACCACCACGACAACCACGCACACACGCACGCACGCACGCACGTGCACCACAACCCACTACGCACGCGCGCGCGGAGCCACAGGTCCGCTACAACACGCGTCCGCGGATAGAGAAAATCAGCGCCATGGTAAGGGATGGGAGGGAGGGGTAGGACGTCAGATATGACGCGAGCGCACCTAGCTTGTCCTCGCCCCTCCCCCTCCTCCTCCTCGTCCCGCCTCCTCGTCCCTCCTCCTCGTCCCTCCTCCTCGTTCCCCCTCCTCCTCGTAACCCCTCCCCCTCCTCCTTGTCCCTCCTCCTCGTCCCTCCTCCTCGTCCCCCCTCCTCGTTCCCCCTCCTCGTTCCCCCGCCCTCGGCCCCCCGCCCTCGGGCTGCGGCCGCCGCGCGAGCCCGCCGGTCCTGCCCGCGGCGCTGGCGCACCGCGCGAGGCCAGCGGGAGCGGCGCGCCGGGGGCGGCGGGCGCCTCGTTTTCTAGGGGGGGGAGGAGGGAGGAGGAGGGGGAGGAGGAGGAGGAGGAGGAGGGGAGGAGGAAGGGGGAGGAGGAGGAGGGAGGAGGAGGAGGCAGGAGGAGGAGGAGGAGGAGGAGGAGGAGGAGGAGGAGGAGGAGGAGCGAGGAAGGAGGAGGAGGAGGAAGGAGAGGAGGACAGGAGGAGGAGGAGGGGAGGAGGGGCGAGGGGAGGAGGAGGATAGAGGGGGAGGAGGAGGAGGAGGGGGAGGAGGAGGGGGAGGAAGAGGAGGAAGAGGAGGAGGAGGAGGAAGAGGAGGAGGACGAGAAAGAGGACGCGGAGGAGTAGGAGGAGGAGGAAGAAGAGGAGGAAGAGTAGGAGGAAGAGGAGGAATAGTAGGAGGAAAAGGAAGAGCAGGAGAAGGAGGATGATGCTGAGGAGGAGGAGGAGGAGGAGGAGGAGGAGGAGGGAAGGTCGCCGCCCAGGGCCCGCTGCGGCGGGGAGCTGGCGCTCAGCGTACGGCTGGGCCAAGGACAGAAAAACATCTTTGAAGAACATCCCGATGCAAAGACGGGGACCTCAGTTAGGTTACGCGTTAGGGGGTCTTTTGTTCTCGGTGCGGTTACATCGGGAATCCCAGAGAGCCGGCGGGTCCAGAGGACGTGCAGTCGAAGCTAGGACATAAGAACATCCTCCAAGAACATGAGACCCTCCGCTGGTCGAAACACACAGAACAGCCAAGGGTACCCTCCCCAGGGTGCACAAGCACGTCCAGCAAAAACACGAGGAGCACTGAGGCACCCTCCCCGAACCGACCTCGATCTGTGTACCTCGGCCCGACCGTAGGTGAGGGGCAGCGATGGCTGGGGCGCCGCCCAGGGCCGCTGCGGCCGGGAGCTGGGACTCGGCGTGCAGCGGATGAGTGCGACGTCGGCGCGCGCAGATGCTTTCGATACCGCGTCGATGGTTCAGTTTTGCATCGATCGCGGTCTCGATCGTTCCAGGCTGAATTCTGTCGGGTCCAGTTTTCTCACAGTGTCCCTCGGTGCTTCCGCGCTCAGCGTAGGTGAGGGGCAACGGTGTGGGGGGGGGCTGGCATACAATGCCGAAGAAGGAACGAAGCCCCTTCTTGGCCCCCAGAAGCGCCTAGTTTCACGAGAAGGCCTGGAGGAACAGCCATGGAAGAGCTTCAGGAACAGCGAGCCCCGCAAGGAATAGCGACCCAACCCCCCTCGCGTCGTGAACATAAATTTGGACGCCCGAAATATGTACGGAAAGAATGGGTACAATGCCCAACAACAAATGTTGTCCCAAACCAACATCGGCCACTGTTGGGCAGGCGGCGTCCTGTCGCAAATGGACACAGGCCGCGGCGGCGCGGACAGCGAGTCCTGTTCAGAATGAGCAGGAACTGCTGGTGGGCATTGTACCCAGTCTTTCCGTGCCCATGTCGCTCGTGCCGAAGAAAGCGCGACGGACGATTCTTCGCTACTTTCGGCTTCCATGGGCCCCTACCGCTCACTTCCCCCCCCCCAAGGCTCGCTGCCGATCCTCCGCTGCGGCCGTGGCCGCCCCCGCGCACGAGCTCGCGCCCACCGCCACCGCTGCGCGCCGTGCTGCACGCACAAGCAGTGCACAGCTGCCACGGACGACGCAGTGCGGGGGGCCCTCCTCCTCCTCCTCCTCCTCCTCCTCCTTCCTCCTCCTCCTCCTCCTCCTCCTCCTCCCTCATCCTCCTCCGCCTCCTCCTCTCCTCCTCCACCTCCTCCTCCTCCTACTCTCCTCCTCCTCCTCCTCCTCCTCCTCCTCCTCCTCCTCCCCCTCCTCCTCCCCCTCCTCTCCCTCCAGCACCTCCACCTCCTCCTGGTATATTCGCACAAGTAAGGGGCCTGTCGCCGCCGACCACCGTCTGCGCCAGGCCCGCGGCCCCGGCATGCAGGGGGAGCTCGGCCACAAGCAGCCTCCCACCGGTGAGCCCCACCCGGAGACACACGGTTTCCCCCGGGGCCGTAGGCGACCCGAGGAGGAGGAGGAGGAGGGGGAGGAAGAGGAGGGAGGAGGAGGAGGAGGTGGAGGAGGAGGAGGAGGAGGAGGAGGAGGGACAAGGAGGAGGGACAGGGAGGAGGAGGAGGAGGAGGAGGACGACGACGAGGAGGACGAGGAGGACGGGTCGCCTAAGCCCTTCGGAGAAACCCTCCACCCAGAGAGCCTGGGACGTCCGCGGATCTTTTTGTTGGGTGTGGGGGCGTCACGCTTCGTCTGGGGCAGAGCCCCTCGCAGCCCAAGACGCCCAGGGCACCCTGGAGCAAGCGGGGTGCTTCTCGGCATAGGTTTCCACTGTAGTAGCCCGGAGACCCCGGGACGTCCGTGGATCTTTTTTTGGGTGTGGGATCGTCGCGCTTCGTCTGGGGCAGAGCCCTCGCAACCCAAGACGCCCAGGGCACCCTGGAGCAAGCAGGGTGTTTCTCGGCATGGGTTTCCACTGTAGTAGAAGAAGAAGAAACTAATACTATTAATAACAGTAATCGCAATACGGATAATAATAACAACAATAATACTAATACTAATACTAATATTAATAATAATATTACCAATAATAATACTAATAATAATACTAATACTAATACTACTACTAATAATAATAAAATAATAATAATAACAAGGAAAATCACGACTGATAATAGTAACCATAAAAGCAATACTAATAATAATAATAAAGCTAATAATGCTACTACTACTAATAATAATAATACTAATACGAATAATAATAATACTAATGATACTACTACTACTAATAATAATAATATTAATAATAATTATATTATTAATAATAATAATAAACATAATAATGATAATAATAATAATAATATTAATAATAATAATAATAATAATAATAATAATAATAATAATCATCATGCTCATAAAAAAACAAGCAAAAACGCCAGAAACATAAACTTTCGACAGCCCGCGCGGATTTCTTGGATCCGCGCTGGACCCCCCGCCCTGGCGCGCGGAGCGCGCCAGGGGCGGCGCCAGAGGCTCCGCCCGGGGGGGGGCCCAGCGCGGATCCAAGAAATCTGCGCGGAGCGCCGAAAATCAATGTTTATTGCGTTTTGTCTTCTTCGATTGCAGGGTGTTTTTTGGCATGGGTTTCCACTGTGAGCCCCCCTCTGACTCTTTCAGTCCGAGGCCCCGACTCCCGACCGCTTCCCCGGGGTCGTTTCTCCCGGGGGCGTCCAGGAGTGGGGCGCGTCTCAAAGAAGGGGGGGGCGCAAGTCATGGCCGGCGGCACGTGCGCGGCCCAGCTGGGGGGAGGGCTGGGTACGTATTGACATGAGAAGAGGCGCCATGACATGTGGGAAGATATAATGGCCCCCGCCATGAAATCTGCCCCCCATGATATCTCCCCCCCGACTGCCCCGGGAGCCGTTTCTCGTCCCATGGGTCTACTTTTGACGGTCCCGGGGGCCGGGCGGCGGCATCCGAAGAGGGCCGAAATCGAGGAGGCGCCGCGGGGCTCGAAAGCATCATCTCGTCGGAGACATGGAGGAGGAGGAGGGAGGAGGAGGAGGAGGAGGAGGAGGAGGAGGAGGAGGAGGAGGAGGAGGAGGAGGAGAGGAAGGAGGAGGAGGAGGAGGAGGAGGAGGGGGAGGAGAGAGGAGGAGGAGGAGGAGGAGGAGGAGGAGGAGGAGGAGGAGGAGGAGGAGGGGAGAGGGGGGATGGAGGATCTGCAGCACACGCCTGCAAGCCAAGCATCCAATCGACACACAGGCCATACAAGACCAAAGAGATACATGATCACTTCACCTCGCCGCCGCCACGCCATCATTGAAGCTCGCCGTCGCCGCCGCCGCCGCCGACGCCGCCGTCGTCGCCGCCGTTGTCGTCGCCGCCGCCGCCGCCAGAGGGCCTGCGGAGGCCGCGCGGGGGATGGCCGCCGCGGGCGCGCCCTCGCGGGCCGCGGCGGGCCCGGCGCCCCCGGCGGGCGCGGCGCCGCCGCCCTGCCCGTGCGCGGCGGGCCGCAGGGACGGCCTGAGGGGCAACGATTGGGGGGGGGCGGCGACCTCAGTTGCCGAAGCTTGCATCCTCCCCCCCACCATCCGCCCTCCTCCTCCTACTCTCCTCCTCCTCCTCCTCTCCCCCTCCTCCTCTTCTCTCTGTTCTCCTCATCCTCCTCCTTCATCCTCCTCCTCCTCATCCTCCCTCTCCTCACTCCTCCTCGCCTCCTCCTCCTCCTCCTCATCCTCCTCTCCTCCTCCTCCTCCTCCTCCTCCTCAGTTCGCGATATCTTGCTGGGGGGGGGACTGGCATATTGTCGGGCGTTGCTGCAGGTGCCCCTGGCCCAGGGTGCCCCCCAGCTTTTCGCTCCATCTTGGGGCCCGTGGGGCCCTCTGAGCCTCGTGATGGGGTGCTCTGGAGGCCGTGGGGGCCTCCTTGGAAATCCTGGGGGCACCTTGGGCCAGGGGCACTTCTAGCAGGGACTGGCATATTTCGGCGGTGGACAAACCAGCCTTCAGCAAACCACCCTTTGGTGAAACCGGCCAATGGACCCGAAACCGACGGACCAGGACCCGCAAAAACGACGGCCGCGACGCCCTCTCGCGAACCGAAAACGGCAAATTTGCTCATCGACGTATCAGGGTAGGAGGTCTATTAACCTCCGACTATTCGGGGGGAAGCATCGACCTGGAATCGGCGATGTGCATCGCCGATCGATTGTGAACCCGCACGCTTCTGAGCGAGGGGGGGCCATCTGGCCTCTCCCCTGAGATTCGACGTGGCGAAACAAATTGCCACACCGCAGAAGTTCACGACTGGAGCTCTGGACCCCACCTTGCTGCGTCATTTTTCGAGCCGGATCGATATGTGAGGGCCCCGGGGCCCGCAACGGGACGAAGACGCCCGCGATGAAGGGACGCTTGGGGGTCGATGCGTTCCCCCCTGTGCCTCTCCCCCCCTTGCCTAGGGGAGCGAAGAATGACATAAGCAGAACAACTCGGAGGTCCGCGCGCATTTTTCGGATCGGCGCTGGACCCCCCTCCCTGGCGCGCGGAGCGCGCCAGGGGCGGCGCTGGAGGCGCCGCCAGGGAGCTCTAGCGCGGATCCGAGAAATCCGCGCCGACCTGCGAGTTCTTATGTTTATATCATTATACGTTTCACTATTGTTGAGCAGGGACCGACCGCCCCGGCATTCCTATAGGCCTGCTACGATATGTTCTTAGAACCCAGAAATGTCCTAAGGACAAAAGCCATGCTCTTAGAACAGCAGCCCGGTGCGTTAAAACAAGGCAGCCCCACCCAGACATGTTCTAAGACCAGTTCGTGCAAGCCTCAAAAGGCTCTGAGAACATTCTTGGGTGGGCCTTCTGGCGAGCCGGGACGCTTCGCCACTGCTCGACTCTTGTCGCTGTCCCCGATGGCCGCTGGCAGGCGGTGCCGGGCGACGCCGGGCGGAGGTCGAGCGGCCGCGGCTGCGGCCGCCCAGCGGCGGGGGGCGCGGCGGCGCCTTCGGGGGGGCGGGCAGGGGCGGCGGCGCTTCGAGGGGGGCGGGCAGCGGCGGCTGCGAGCAGCGGCGGGCGGCACCCCTCGCGGAGGGGCCCTGGGCGACGGCGGCGGGGGCGAGGCGGCGGCGAGTCGGGGTGGGTTTCCTGGCGCCTCCTGGCGGCAAGAGGCGCCCATGCATCAAGGAATGGGCCCGGCGGCGGGGTCGCCAGCAAATGCCGCAGATTTCGTCCCCCCCCCCTTTCCCGATCCTGCCCGTTCGTCCGGCCAGAGCGAGGCGAGGGCGCGGCGGCGGTCGAGGGCCAGGTCAGGTCATGTCGGGGGACCGCGCGCCCAACTGGCGCGTCAGCGGGCGCCGCGCCATTAATGGGTGAGGGACGCGCGACGCGCGAGGATGCGAGGCGAGGCGGAGCAAGCGAGGGAAGGACAAACGACATGGGAAACGATCCTCCTCCTCCTCCTCCTCCTTCTCTTCTCCTTCCTCTTGCTCCTCCTGCTCCTCCTCCTCCTGCTCCTGCTCCTGCTCCTGCTCCTGCTCCTGCTCCTCCTCCTCCTCCTCCTCCTCCTCCTCCACGGCGGTCTTCCGGCAGAGCGCCGTGAGGCGCGAGCAGCGGCGGCGCAGTCGGCGGCGGCGTCGTCGGCGTCGCCAGCGGGAGCGAGTGGCCCTGGGTAAGATCGGGGGGGCGTAAGACCCGGGTACACGGGACTCGGAAATCCCCGACGAGGTCGTCAAAAAAATGACGAGGCCGAGCCTGCATTTTGACGGGGCCTCCCGCTGCAGACATCCCACGAAACTCCTCCTCGTCAAAATCCGAGGAGCGGTCGTCCAAAAACGATGGCGAACCCGAGTCCTGGCAAACCCGGGGCTTACGCTCCCCCGATAAGAGTGGACCTCTGGTGCGCGGCTTTGGGGGGGCCGCGGGAGGCCCAACACACAAGCGCGCAGGGCGCTACTATCGCGTCGCCCTCGGCGATCGGGGGGGCCCCGGTGGGCCTGCAACAGAGGTCGCTCCGGGGAAGGGTCGCTCTCATGTGTAGTCGGTCTCATTTTTTTTGTTTGTCGTTTTCTTTTTTTTCCCTCTGAATGCTCTCCTGGTAGAGGGACAGGCCCAACTTGATTCTCAGCAAAATCAGCAAATGAGAAGAGCCTAGACGTCCAGCAGAACTCAACAGTACTAAGCTCCCGATCCCCCCCCTTCCAGTCGAGCCGTGCGGGGCCCCGACCAGCCTCTCCCAGTCCATGAAGCCGTCGAATGTCCTCCCCCAAGTCCCCTCCTCCCCGGTCCCCCACTTCCCCGTAGATCTCGGCGTTGCGCTTTTTTCGCAACGGGCGCTGTCGCCCTGTATGGGGCCCCTGGACCTGCGCAGATTGATGCGGCCCAGAACACGACGCCGAAATCTGGCGTCTGGCTCTGCGGTCGTGACTGTCGCGAGGCTACAGCTCTCTGGCAACCTCAACTCTTGTAGTTTTTGTTGCTTCGCTTTTTGTTTCTGTGTCTCTGAGATGGCGAAGCCAGGATCGGGGCAACATCGGATCGGGGGATGAGCCGCGGCCCTCCGAGAGCCCGCGGGTCTGGAGGATGGAGATGCATCGGGCCCTGCGGCCGCCCCGAAGCGTTCCAGCACGCTCTTGGGGAGCGCTCCCGCACGCTCCCTGGCGCGCTTCCTCCCGACTCTGGGGCTGCTGCTGACTCCTGCTGCTGCTGCTGCTGCTGCTGCTGCTGCTGCCGCGGATGCTGCGCCGAGAGCTGCCCCCCGCAGAGCTGCCCTGGCACGCAGGACGCCACCCGCAGGGTGTTGGCACGGAGCTTCACGCGTGGATTGGGCACGTGGGTCTGGCGCGACGCGTTCGCCAAGGCGTTGGCCCTTCTCGGTGCGCTGGCCGACCACACGCAAGAGTGACCCTAGGTGAGCGTGACCTCTGGTGCGCGGCATTTTGGTGGCCGCGGGGGAACCGAACACGAGCGCGCAAGACGCTACTACCGCATCGCGCTCGGCGATCGGGGGACTCCTTTGGGCCCGCACCCGCGCTACGACCGCATCGCGTTCGGCGACCCCCTGGACCAAAGGTCACTCTGGCGAAAGGTCATTTTTACGTGTAGTCGATCTGGGGATGGGGAGCACGCCGCGTCCTTCCACGGTGGGCTGCTCCAGCGCGGCGCAGGACGGCCGCCGCGCCGGCTGGGCGCCCTCGGCATCCGCGGCGCCGTCGCCGCCTGTCGGAGGGGGGGCGGCTGGGAGGCCGCGGGAGCTCCCCAGATTTCACTGCACCGACCTTGCAGACGTGCTGCAGCAGATTTTCGCGTGGATTTCTGTCAACGCAAAACCCCGAATCCTCGAGCGAAAAACGGAATGAATTTCACGTGGATTTGTTTGTAGTCTTCATTCCCGGCCAAGAGAAATCCGCACGAAATTCACATCGAAATCCGGAACGAAACTCTCCGGGACAATCCGGGCCCATCCCATGGTTTCCCACACGACATCCGCTCTGCGAAGTTGGCGCCACGACAGATCTCCGACGTTGCGACTTCTCCGCAGCTCGGACTCCCAGAAGTCTAGACCGCTTCCCCGGGAAACATTTTCCATCCCGCGTCGTGTTTTGGCGCTCCTGGGACCCGGCGGGGGCGCCCAGAGGTTGACAGTGGCAACAACAACTCGCGTCGCGACTTTGTCGCAGCGAGAGGCGGTGCAATTTTTTTGGGTCAGAACTCGGGTCTCCAGCAGCCGTTCGGGACGATCCGGGCACGCCCAGAACCCTCTCGACGAGGCGCTGCTGCTGCAGAGCATCCCGAGGCTGGGGAGGGAGGGTGGTGGCGGAGGGGCGGTGGGCGACAAAACCTGACATCCTCGCGTCGCGGAAGAGCAGCGACGGAGCGTTTTCGGCCATTTTCGGACATCGGGGGGCCTCACCAGGCCCCAAGACAACAGCAAAACGACTCGACATGAAAAGCGGGCCCTGGCTGTCACCACGACGAACTTTGAAAAAATACGTGGTCTAGACCTCGGGGGGATGTGGTGAGAAGGGAAAAGGGAGGATAATGTTCAAGGAGGATGAGGGGGAGGAGGAGGAGGAGGGGGAGGAGGAGGGGAGAGAGAGGAGGAGGAGTGGAGGAGGAGGAGGAGGAGGAGGAGGAGAGGAGGAGGAGGAGGAGGAGGAGGAGGAGGTAGGAGGAGGAGGAGGAGGAGGAGGAGGACGAGGAGGAGGAGGAGGAGTGTGGGGAGGGGGGGTAGGGAGGAGGAGGATGGGGGTGGAGAGGAGGGAGAGGAAGGGGCTGGAGAGAAGGGGGGTGGGGAGGAGGAGGAGGAGGAGACATATCGCTTTTCAGTGGTGCCTCCAGAAAGGAGGTCAGCGGCCTGCCTGGCAGCCCTGGCGAGCGAGTAAGCGACCGAGGCCAGGAGCGACTCGCCAAGGCTCGCACCGCGCCTCTCCGCATGGAGACATCGACGCAGGTGGAACGTTAGAGAAACTCTCGGCGGCGAGCGCGGGGAGGAATCGAGATGGGGCGGGCCTTCTCAGAAGGCTCGGAAGT